AATAAACCCACTTCCCAAAAAAAGGCGCAAAGAGAGGACTAGAGGAGAAACGAAATGAAACTTTTCCCAAGAAAGAAAGAGGAGAAGGAATAAACTGGCAAATGAAATGAACTAAGCTAAGTGGAGTGACACGTGTCCTGGCAAATTCCAAGCTTCGCATGCATTTGAATTTGATGACAATTTATAAATGAAAATGGAATTGTAAGGGAATGACAAGAAGGAAAGAAAATATGAAATGTTATGGATATTAAGAGCTTGTTTTAATTTTTTTTTTTAAATTAGAAAAATCGTGTTAGAAAATCCTTATGAACACTATATGTTTTTGTTAGAAATATGAAACCAAATTTTATATTTCAAAACACAGAAAACTTTGGAGGAATGCGATGAGATCGTGGATAACACATATGGATCAGTCGAACAAAATTTGACAGGGAATTCTCTTCAGATCATAATTCAATAAGAACTTATCTGTCCTTTCGCTAAACGAATATGGTTGCATATACGCTTGAACAAACGCTAGGAAATATTGCGGCATTACTTTGAAAATCATGGTAATATTGTTGAATGTGTAAGGATTTTGGAAGAGGAGAAGCACTGTCAGCTTCGAATGTAAACAGGCACTTGAGACACAGAAGACCCACGTGCATACATTGAAAAGCCGATATACCCAAAACGAGTCACTGTTTGGTTCGGATAATTAAATCCACTCCTTCTGATACCTCTGGCCAAAATTTACAAAAAATATTTTACTGCACAGAAAGAGAAAGGATAAACCGATTTTGGTCTAATCTTACAAATCGCAATATTTGCATCAGCGCGAGTTCGGGTGCGAAAATGAACAATATCGGTCCAAATATTTTTGCGATTATATTTGGCATTTATTCTGATGCCACGGTCGATTAATACGAGCGGAGAGCGACCATCGACTGTTTTGGCGGCCCAAACTATTAAAATGGCCGGCGATTGTGTTCTGATGGTCAATCGAAGGTGCACATTTTCAGCTGACCTCTTTGGCAAGTAAACACGATAATTTTGTTTCTTTACAAACTGCTGGACAACGAATGTTTTCTCATCGGAGAAAACCAAATTCTGTAGATCACCACTTTCGGCCACACAGCAAAGCAACTCTTAAGCTCATTGAGTCTATTTTCTTTCTGTTGCAGTGTAGGTTCTTGCACTTTTTGGAATTTCAATGGCTTTACCCCGAGCTCATTTTTCAATATTTGGCGAATGGAATATTGCGATGGTGGTTTTCTGGTCAAATATAAAGAAATCACACTATGTCACACTATGTAATATCACTGGAATAATTTTAACAGCTGTCGGACGAGTGGCTTAGAAATGACAGCAGTCTGACGTTGGTTGCAATTTTTTTATCTCACCCTATATGGTAGCTTATGCATATTTTAACGTTTTCTAAAAATTATCACATATCTCATATAAAGTGAAGGAAGTAATTGATGTAGTCCAAATCTAGCAAGTCGCAATATTTATATCGTATTTTTTTAGGTCTGATACGAAATGGACGAGGGTCAACGATTTGAATAATCATAACACAAGTCAAAATATATTTAAATAATCGAATATTGGATGAGGGTATACATCTGTCGGCAAAACCGACTGATACCTTTTAACTTGTTACCTCAACTTTTATCATCTACTATTTTTTTATACCCTCCACCCTCCACCATATATAGCCCCCATATAATGGTATCTCTCGATATTCTGTATTTTGATGATTTTAGCGACAATATTTATCGGAATTGTTTCAAATTTGGTATTTGATATTCGTAATGGATGCTACAGCATATGACAGGAGATTGTCAGTTCAGGTCCACGTCTTCGTATAGCCCCCATACAACGGTACCTCCCGATATTAGGTATTTTGATGATTTTAGCAAAATTATTATTGTTTTAAATTTATGAAGTTCGAAATGGATACTACAGCCTAAGGCACAAAATTTTCTGTGTAGGCCCAAGTCTTCGTATAGCCCCCATATAACGTTACCGCCCGATATTCGGTATTTTGATGATTTTAGCGACATTATTCAGCGGAATTGTTTCAAATTTGGTATTTGAAGTACGTAATGGATGCTACAGCCTAAGCCGGAAATTGTCTGTGCAGGTCCACTTTAGGTATAGCCCCCATATAACGGTACTTCCCGATATTGGGTATTTTAACAATTTTAGCCACATTATTCACCGAAATTGTTTCAAATTTGGTATTTGATATTCGTAATGGATGCTACAGCCTATGATAGGAGATTGTAAGTTCAGGTCCACGTCTCGTATAGCCCCATATAACGGTACATCCCGAATTCGGCATTTTGATGATTTTAGCGACATTATTTATCGGAATTGTTTCAAATTTGGTATTTGAAGTTCGTAATGGATACTAAAGCCTTAGACAGAAAATTATCTGTGGCGGTCCACGTCTTCGTATAGCCCCCATATAACGGTATCTCCCGATATTCGGTATTTTGATGATTTTAGCGACATTATTCACCAGAATTGTTTCAAATTTGGTATGTGATGTTCGAAATGGATACTAGTCTGTGACAGAAAATTGTCTGTGCAGCTCCAGGTATTTGTATAGCCCCCACACAACGGTACCTCCCGATATTGGGTATTTTGATAATTTTAGCCACATTATTCACCGAAATTGTTTCAAATTTGGTATTTGAAGTTCGTAATGGATACTACAGCCTACACAGAAAATTATCTGTGCATATCCACGTCTTCGTGTAGCCCCCACATAACGGTACCTCCCGATATTCGGTACTTTGATAATTTTAACGACATGACTCATCGGAGTAGTTTCAAATTACGTATTTTAAATTTCGTAATGGGAACTATAGTCTGTGACAGAAAATTGTCTATGCAGGTCCAGGTCTTGGTATAGCTCCGATATAACGGTACCTCCCTATATGTGGTATTTTGATGATTTTACCTACAGTATTCACCATTTATTTGAAGTTTCGAATTTGAATATGGTAATGGCTTATGACAAACAAAGCCTATATAGGTCCACGTCGTATAGACCCCAATATAATGGCTGTATTCGGTATTTTAAGGATTTTAACAGAATTTTTTTACCGATTTTATTTTTTGAAAATGTCCAAATTTGTTCCAAATAGTGTAGGGTATTCAGAATTCGGCCTTTTTTACTTGTTTTATCTCACACTATATTGTGATGTGTGTACTTTGAAGACAATCACATTTTATAAGTGTTATAATTATGAAAATATTGAGGGAGGTACTTCTTGGATTGGGCCGACATTGTCGATTTCCGCACCTGACCTAGCACTGATGCAAATATTAGGATTTGCAAAGTTGGAGCAAAATCGGATTATCCTTTCTCTTTATGTGCAAGAAAATATTTTCTTTGGAAAATTCCAACTTTTGTGGGTGAGGTACCAGAAGGAGTGGACCGATATTATCCATTTTCAAAGTGCATCTAAGTTTGATAATAATATTACGATGTACAAAGTTTGGACCAATTCGTATACTCTCTCTGAGACTTATCGTACGCACCAGACAGACAGACGGACGGACATCGCTAGATCGACTCCAGATGTCCTGAAAGGGATTTGGTTCGTTATTTCGACGAGGCACGTTTTCAGCCATATGCCTGAGGGTTTTAAAAATATGAACGTCTTGAATTTTGTTGTTGTACGTACCAGAGAAAGTCTCAACCTCTACCAAAACCGTCTCACTCTTTTGGAGAAATATAAAAAAAAAATATATATTACTAATAAAAATATTACTCAAATTTCATTAATACTCTTCTTTAAAACTAATCTCATTTACATTTCGAGCCACATTAAGATTATAATAAATTTAATTTAATGTGCTAATTTAATACATTGTCCCCAAGTATTAGTTTTTTTCATCCACACACAACACCAACATGCCACACATGTAAATATACACAACTTCCAACCATTACCACACTAGGCACACTGGCCATCAACACCACCACCATTTGAGTGACCCAACGCCATGCCATCATCGCCGTAGCCATCATCAACATTGTCGCTTCAATTATAATTGAATTTCTGGCTATACGGAGTAATTTCTCCGGCAAAACAACATACCAGTATGACGGTCGATCAGTTCGTTTGTCACTCTGGCAGCTAGACATGACTATGCGGGGACGTCATAATTTCATTAAAATATCTATGGTGGGGGTGAAGATGAAATGTTATTAAAAGCGTTTGGGTTTTGTTTTTCTCTATTTTTTCTCTATTTTTTTTTTTTTTTTTGCTTTTGAGGGGGTCAGGTTGACGGAAATCCACACATGTTATATGTTGGAAGCATTATGATATGGTCCAGATTCATTCAAGCAGCTTTATACACAAACCTTCGTACACAAACACTCTGCGAGTGATGGAGAGAAAGAGAGAGAGAGAGAGAGGGCAGTAGTGAGTGATTGTAGTAGCCAACAATGGCACCGTAATGAAATGTAATGGAATGTGCGGGTCAACTTTTACACAAAAACACGCACACACACTCTCATACACACACACATATATATTTTGTACTCTCATTGTTGTTGGTATTGTTGTGGGTACTTTAACCGGAAAAGGTCATTAACTCAATGTGGTTTTTATATTGTGCGTTCTGATTGCTTTGCATTGTTGTTGTTGTTATTTCTGCACAACTTTCAGTTCAACGCGTATTGCTGGATACCATTACCACCGCAAAAGGTAGTTATTAATGGGCTATTTATTTTCCATCCCTGGCTGGAGGGAGAGAGGAAGAGATGGAAGGTTTTCAAAAAAATAAAACTATTTTTTCGGTTTTCCTTTTTTTTTGGCAAATTTTCAGAACCCACAACATTAGCTATCATTTCCGCTCTCACACATTATTGCCATCGCATTGCTAATCGTTTTATCGTAGACTGAGTGATATGTTCTATTTTGTGTTTCACTGCGGATTATGTTTCCCATGGATTTTAGATTTTTTATTTGGATATATTTGCGAACTCACATACATACCTCTATTGAGTTTATGAAGAGGAAGGAAGCACCCATTGATTGCCAAAAACCCAAATGGATGATTGTGGAGCTAATTTATAATTTTAGGGAAAATGGTGAACCAACCTGAAATGAGAAATAACAAGGAAATAGAAAATTAATCTGAAATGATTCGTGGATCATAAAAAATAAAAATTAAAAAAAAATTAACAATAAATTTTTAACAGAATTAGATGCCTTGGAACCCATGCAGTTTAGGTAAAGTAGTGTCCTTGGCAATATTACCAACGGCAATGCAAGGATTTTTTTGCAGGAAATTTTAACCCCAAAGCGAGTCACAAAAGAGGTCTTTTTGGTATTTATACCCTACTCCAAATAAGGGTATTATTTCAGTGTATTTTTTTCTAACACGGAGAAGTGGAAACGAGATAGGCCCTTTTGAGGATCTTCATAGAATCACTTTCAGAGTCCGTCTTACAAAATGCAGGTCACATTTCTTATCCGATTGAAATGAAACTTTCCAAGCATTATTTTTTTGGTCCAAGGACGAACCCTATTGAAATTGGTGATAATCGGATCAGATTTACATATAGATCCCATACATCTTCAAGCGATTTCAGATTAAGTGTGCACCAAATGGCTAATATAAGTCCAAATGACCTATATTTTGGAACATCCCACCGAATTCAGTTTAGTAAATCAAATTTGGTGAAAATCGGTTTAGACATAGCTATAGCTCCCATATATATGTTTCATCCGATTTGAGATTTTAAGGCCCTCACATGCGTAATATGCACTCCAGAACAATGATATTTAGTACCGGACATCAGACACTGCTCGAAAATACCTCTGTCAAATTCTATTGAGATCGGTTCAGATTTAGATATAGCTCTCATACATCTTCAACCGATTTTGGGTAAATTGTGCACCAAATGGCTAATATAAGTCCAAATGACCTGAATTTTGGCATATCCGACCAAATTCAGTCTAGAAGCAAGTAAATCAAATTCGGAGAAAATTGGTTCAGATATATTATTATTTTACATTTAATTCAAATTAGGATATAACTTCCATGTATATATTTATCCGGTATCAGGTTTATTGTCCACCAAATGGCTAATATCAGCTCAAATGTACAGAACTTTGGCAATTACGACTGAATTCATCTTAGAAACCTGTACATCAAATTTGGTGTAAATCGGTTCAGATATAGCTATAACTCCCATATATCTGCTTCATCCGATTTAGGGATTTAAAGCCCCTCACAAGCGTATTATGCATTCCACAAAAAAATCGTTGGTACCAGATATCAGATACAGCTCTGAAATATGTGTATCAAATTTTGTCAAGATCTGTTCAGATTTGGGTATAGCTCCCATACAGAGTGTGATGAAAAAACTGCAACTAACTTCAGACTGCTGTCATTTCTAAGCCACTCGTCCGACATCTTTTAAAATTATTCCAGTGACAGCTCATTACATTGTTTACAAGTGAACAAAAGCACTTTGGTGAGAATTTTCCAGAAAAAGAGTTATTCGTGATGGAATTCAAGCGTGATAGTGTGATTTCTTTATATTCGGCTGGAGAACCACAAGTGGCTCTCGTTGGAACACTCTAGCATTTAAATGTGAATAAATCTTTTGTGTCTCATACCATCTCTCGTTACCGTGATACTGGTAGCGTAGCCCGACGTCTAAGAAGTGGACGAAAGAAAACAGCAACATCAGCAGAAATGGTTCGAAAAGAAAAGAAGCGACTCGATCGAAACCCGCGTCGCAGTGGCCGAAAAATGGCTCGTGAGCTGAAAATATCGCAATATTCCATTCGGAAAATATTGAAAAATGAGCTCGGGGTAAAGCCATTGAAATTCCAAAAAGTGCAAGAACTTACACCACAACAGAAAGAAAATAGACTGGAAAGAGCTAAAGGCTTGCTTAGCTTGTCAACTGCTGGTCAACTGCCGAATTTTGGTTTTCTCCGCTGAGAAAACATTCGTTGTCCAGCAGTTTGTAAACAAACAAAATGGTCGTGTTTACTTGCCAAAGAGGTCAGCTGAAAATGTGCACCTTCGGTAGGCCACCAGAACTCAAGCGCCGGCCATGGTGATGGTGTGGGCCGCCATAACAGCTGATGGTTGCTCTCAGCACGTATTAGTCCCACGGTCGATTAATGCGAATAAATGCCGCATATTATCGCGAAAATATTCTGGAGTGTGTATTAAAGCCTTGGGCACGCAAACATTTTGGCCGGAGACCTTGGACATTCCAACAGGACTCAGGACGAACTGCCGAATTTGGTTTTCTCCGATAAGAAAACATTCGTTGCCAGCAGTTTGTAAAGAAACAAAATGAGGTTAGCTGAAAATGTGCACTGTCGGTTGGCCACCAGAACTCAAGCGCCGGCCATGCTGATGGCGTGGGCCGCTATAACAGCCGATGGTCTCTCTCCACTCGTATTAATCGACCGTGACATCAGAATAAATGCCGAATATTATCGCGAAAATATTCGCGGGTGGTTTATTAAAGCCTTGGGCACGCAAACATTTTGGCCGCAAACCTGGGACGTTCCAACAGGACTCAGCACGCGCCATCAAAGAATGGTAACAACATGAGGTTGCTGGCTTCATTTTCAGCGCACAATTGCCACCAAAATCGCCGGATACCTCAAGCAAGCGCTTCGCCGGGAATGGACAAAAAAACCGCAGAGCAACATTCGGCCATAATTTGTGTCAAAGGTGACCAATGCGAATAAATCTAAACTTATTCTAAAATTTGATGCTATTTCCCTTACCACTATGTGGTATAGGTTATAAATATATCAAATGAAATGTTAGAGGACCTTTAACCCAAAAAGTTTTCTAGTCCTTTAAAAAAAAAACATTTAATAAAAAGACATCATGTTCTGCCAAAAATAGTTCTGGCAGGCTAATTTTTTTAGTTTTGCCAAGAAATGTAGAAAAAATTGTTCTTGAAAAAGTCTACGATTTTCATTGCCAGGATAACAATGAAAACGCTTTATTAGGAAATCCATGTGTTGTTACTAGGAGGTCTATATAAAATCTCTAATTTATGACTTGTAGGGAGGTGGCTGTGAAAATGTTGAGCTTTTGTGGAGGAGGTACCTGAAGGAGTGGACCCATATTGTCCATCTCCGAACTCCACCTAAGTTTGATAATAATACTACGATGTACAAAAGTTGGACCAAATTAAATACTCCCTTCGAGAGTTGTCGTGCACACCAGCCAACCAGACAGACGGACATAGATCGAATGTTCTGAAACCGACTTGGTCCAAAGAGACCTAGGGTCTAATGCGATTATTTCGATGAGTCACGTTTTAGCCGTATGAAATTATATATATCCTCTTTAGCAATAAGTCTCAGGGTATAAAAATCGTCTAGAAAGTTTTTGAAAAAATTACCGACCATTAAAAAGGACTTTAAAACAAATCCTCTATTCTAGAAAGGATTTCCCCGATTTTCTGCAATAAAATCTTAAAATTGATTTTCAAAGGCCATTGTAGAAAGTATTTTTAAAAACTTCACTATTAGAAGATATCTGGGAAGCCAATACGGGGTTTTTGTAAGATTTTTGACCAGGAAGAAGCTGTTGAAAAAAAATTAAAAACTGCACTATTTTTTGGCTAGAAATTCCTTAAATATATTTTAAAAAAGCAATTCTTGGATTTAAAAATCCATGGCTTTTAATAGAAATAGTCCTTGTAAAAATTTCTAACATTTGACAAGTTAATCTTCAATATTTCCTGAAAAGTCTGCCATTTTCGAAGGTCCCTAAAAGTTTGTTTGTTTATGAGAATCGTGCATTTAAAACTTAATATTTCACTTTTACAAGATCGCCAAAAATTTGAACACAGAATTCTTTCGGGCGTTTTCGATTCGAGGTGTCGTCATATGCTACACTTCTCACCACAATTTTGTGACGGCCCTCCATGTTTTGGGAAAAGCTGTACTTGGTGTTGAGAGCAAATGGCCGGTAGTGATAGATGTGCTATGGAGACAGAGTGAAAACATCTAAATCCTTTAGAATATCCAACATCTAACTTACACCGTAATTGTTGATACACTTGCGATCCCATTCGATTATGTGGCGACTCCAAACCGGAAAGAAAATTGAGGTTGGAGCAAATTGTATGGCGCAAAAATCATCTGTGTATGCCGAGATTGGGGTTGGCTGCCAGCCACCTTGTTGGAATTTTAACAATTCTGATCTGATCTAAGGGTGAGAGTAACAAAAATTTAATTTCCAAAATGCCTACATTTCTCCGTTTCATACAGTAATGCGATCGGTGGGTTCCACACCCTCCCATTTGCAGGTCATACTTCCGCTGACAAATACACGACCTTCCCTGTACACTATTGATAGGTTGGTCAAATCAAAATAATCGTGTATGCCCTTGCCGTCTAGCATGTCGGGGCATTTATCGAAAACTTCATCGTTGTCCAGAATAAATTCATAGAGTGTCCCATATACCAGGGCGATTGGCAGCAAGAAACCAAGGAAGGTTAGCACTTTTGAACGTTGTATTAACATCGCGAAAAATATTGATTCAATGCTCGAGCTGCTCTCAATTTTGGGGTTATATAGCCTGAACATGGCCAGATCTAGGGTTGAAATAAGATCATAATGATTGATCGGTAAGAGATGTTAATAGTTTAATTGTTTAAAAAAAAAAACAAACTTTGTAAGATCATTATCGGAACACAGATTTTTCTCACGCGATACAGTGATTCTATTTTGCAAGTTCGGTTAACCTGCATTAATCGTAGCTGCATTTTGACTTTTGCTGACAAAAACAAAAAAAATATTTTTGACTGCGATCATTTAATTAAACAAAATACAGGGTGCGATAAAAAACACTGCCACAAAGTCAAAATTTTTACATGTTTTTTTAAAATTTATTGAATAAACGAAAAAAATGTCGGAACTAGCATCAAATTTTAGAATAAGTTTGGATTTTGTTCGAACTGGCCATCTTTGGCACAAATTATGGCCTTCAAACGGCCAATGAAAACGTCACACGCTGCCCGATTGTTGCTCTGTGGTATTTTGGCCCATATCCGGCGAAGTGATCGACACTTTGGTGTTTTTTAGTGCCAACCTTGCTTTCCAAAATACTCCAGACACAATAGTCCAACGGATTGGTATCCGGAGATTTTGATGGCCATTGTGCGCTGGAAAAGAAAGGAACCTCGTTTTGTAACCATTCTTGGGTGACGCGTGCTAAGTGCGATGCTTGTAAATGAGAATAGAATCCAATCTCTCTCTTCGATTGTCAACTCTAGATTTTTCCAGCGCCTCAATCGCACTCAAAAACATATACAACGATGCTGAGTCCTGCTGGAATGTCCAAGGTCTGCGACCAAAATATTTGCGGGCCCAAGGCTTTAATACACCCTCCAGAATATTTTCGCTATATTATTCGGCATTTATTCTGATGCCAAGGTCGTATAATACGAGCTGAAAGCGACCATCGACTGTTATAGCGTCCCACGCCATCATCATGGCCGGCGCTTGAGTTCTGTTGGCCAACCGAAGGTGCACATTTTCAGCTGACCTGAAACACGATCATTTTGTTTGTTTACAAACAACTGGACAACAAATGTTTTCTCATCGGAGAAAACCAAATTCGGCAGTTCACCACTTTCGGCCAAGCGAAGCAACTCTTTAGCTGTTTTGAGTCTATTTTCTTCCGGTTGCGGTGTAAATTCTTGCACTTTTTGGAATTTCAACGGCTTTAGCCTGAGCTCATTTTTCAATATTTGCCGAATGGAATATTGCGATATTTTCAGTTCAAGAGCCATTTCTCGGCCACTCCGACGCGGGTTTCTTTCAAGTCGCTTCTTTACTTTTCGAACTATTTCTGCTGATGTTGCTGATTTCTTCCGTCCACTTCCTTGACGTCGGAAATAGCATGTGTTCAGATTTTTATCTGACATGGAATAGTAAAACCAATTAGAATTTTAGCACCTCTGATTGAGGAAAAATATAATTAATGTTTTCAATTAAATTCCTCTATTGCTCACCCCTTGTGGATTTTCGAAGTATATAAGCGCATTGTACTAAAATTCGGTAGCTCATTCCATATCGCCAGCTTTTCCGTGATGATAAAACCAAGGCCCATCATTCTAATTTCGATTGTCTGCTTACTATATTCCGTCCAGCCTGCATATTTCGCTCTCTACGAATTCATTTTAGAAAATGACGAAGTTTTCGACGACTGTCCCCAAATACCAGGCAATCACGGAATCCACGATCTATTTGACATAACCAATGTAACATTGGCCTACAGTGAAGGTCATGTCACCGTTAGTGGCTGGGGACCCTGTGCATGGGAAGGTGTGGAACCCACCGATCGCATAGGTGTAAGATAATACATAATTATACAACTTAAATGTTTTAAAATTCTTCCTACGCAGGGTAGAGCCGAACTATTAAAATACCATCGCGGCACTTGGCAGCCAACACCAATATCGATAGCTGTGCTGATTTTTGTGAAACATTGTTCGATCCAACATCAATGACATATCAAGTGTGGAGCCGTCACATCCATGAAAGTGAACGGAAATGTATTAACAACAATGGGGTATGTCAGGAGCTAAAGATTTTCGTTTTATTAAAAATTTCTTTTGTTTTTCACCATAGCACATCTACCACCATCAACCCTTTGAGGTGGACACCGTGTTTCAGTTCCCCTTGAATGTTGAGGGACGCCATAAACTTGTTGTGAAGGGAACGGCCTACGACTTGTGGAATCGGCCACGTCCCAAAGAAATATGTTTTCAAATTTTTGTCGAATTTATTAAAGTGAAATAATAAAGTTGGAAGTTGGATCCAACATTATGGGTCGATATTCTGAGAGTTTATATTCTTTTATTTTATTAATTCAAATCTTAATACTAACATAGGTTAAATGACTTAAACGCAACTGTACTACAAATAGACATGCATTTATTACACGCCGTACTGGATTTAATCAAATCAGCCTAGAACATAATTCACTGATGGTTAAATTTATAAAATACAAGGAATTCTTGGACAAAACATCGTCTTTAGATGACTTTTTCGAGTCTCGATTGGATTCTAAACGGAAAAGGAAAACCTAAATAATATTGCTGATATTCTTCAGCAAACGCTGCTACTCAAATAATTTCTGAGATTGTACAGGGTTGCCCATATTCGACAAACCCATCTGGCAACGCCATAACTTTTGACAGAGATGTCACATCGCTTAATGACATACCGCGTCTGAAGCGTCAGTCCAAGCAGGTTTTTACCATTAAACGTAAGGTAAGGCTCTTTCTAATCCGCAGAGGCCATATAAAAGTCGACCAAGGCGATCGGCCGAGAATATCGCTGCCGTACGAGCCAGTGTTCAGAGGTCCCCACGAACATCCCAAAAACGCCGTTCTCAGCAGTTGGGCATGGCTCGGTCCACTTTACAACGGATTATTCGCATTTGTTCCCGTACAAAATTCAATTGACGCAAAGAATGTTGCCTGCGGACAAGCCTCGTCGATTGGAATGGGCCCAAAGAGTCTTCGAAATGGCCGAAGATGACGAGCAATTTTGGAACAAAATTATCATGTCCGATGAAGCCCATTCCACATTGAATTGGACCGTAAACAAGCAAAATTGCCGTTTTTACTCCACTGAAAATCCTCAGGAGTTTCAAGAAGTGCCTCTGACATGACGAAAAAGTCACAGTTTGGTGCGGCGTTAGTGCGAAAACGGTCATTGGGCCGTTTTTCTTCCAAAATGAAAATGGCCATGCTGTTACCATCAATCAGGAGCGTTATCGCGACATGATGACCAATTTTGTGATGCCAATTATTCGTCGAAATCGTATGAGGCAGTTCTGGTTTCAACAAGACGGCGCTCCACCGCACACAAGTCGCATAACAATCGATTTTCTGAAGAATTTGTTTCCGGGCCGTTTGATGTCGAAAAGTGGTGATTTGGACTGGCCACCGCGTTCGCCCGATTTGACGCCACCTGACTTCTTCTTCTTGTGGGGATATTTGAAGTCAAAGGTTTACGTTAACAAGCTAAGGAACGTAGAAGAGCTTAAGGACAACATTCGTGAAGAAATAGCCGCTATTCCGGCCGAAATGTTGGCAAAAACGATGGAAAATGCAGCAAAAAGAGCGCAATACGTCATCAACGCCAGAGGCGGCAATTTGAGAGATTTCATATTCAAAAATTGATGTAAACAAATCTATCGGAACAAATTAAATGATTAACATTGCCAACCGCCAAATTTTTATTTTTTTCTTTGATTTTTTAAAAAAATAAACTTGGGTCCGTCGAATATGGGCAACCCTGTAATTAACGAAATGCATTCCGAAGACAATAACTTTTCTGAAAACAGTGAGAAAAACAGAACAGAGCTTACTCTATCCCGTTCAAAAACATTTTTCTCGCCGCAGGTAACGCCTAAAACTCCAAACACGCTATACATTCCTATCTCTCCAAGTCCCATAAATTTAAAAGTTGTTGAATCAAAACGTACAATTTTCACTGGTAGATCTGCCGAAACGAATGAAGATAACATCGTTTCATACATCAAAAACAAATTAAATTTAAATATTTAAATCACCGCTTTTAAATCTAAATATTCTGAAATGTGAAGTCAGCCCTCACTTAAGATTGTTATTCATCCTGAAGATAAGTACCATCCAACACTAAATATTCTGATTGCACTAGCTTTTACTGACCAAAATAATATTTCCAGTGGACATAGTACTGTTTTTCAAACTCTTTTTTTCATTTGCTGATGGACAATGTTTCCCATTTCGTGGCGGATCCGTATCCTTTAACCATCTTATCATAACCTTAACTATGCTATTTTCTATGAACTGACATTTGCCCAAGAAGGTCAGAGTTGTATAGTTGTGCTATCCGTTTCACTGAGTGGACCGAATTTTCTCGTACCTTTTCTCATTTTCTGGCGGTAAATATTTTCAAGTTCTGTTCAACATCCTATGAACTGGTATCTGTCCAAGAAGGCAAGAGAAGAATAGTTCGAAGAATAGAATAAAAGAATGCATGACCGATTTCTCTTTCCTTTCTTCAAGATGAACTAGGTCGATCATCTAGTTCTTTTTCGTTGGCCCGTTCCATTCAGTGAGAGTTTGGTCCCAGGGTGTTTAGCCTGGAAAGGACGAGTGGCTGCTAATGTTTCGGTGTTTGAAGCTGATCAGCATCCTAAAAGTATCTAATCGCACCCTCAATAATGCTATTATCTATGAACTGGCATCTGTTCAAGAAAGCCAAAGCTATATAGTTTTGCGATCTAGTTCACTGAGCAGATCTATATTCTCATTCGTTTTCTCATTTGCTGGCGGAAAATAGGTCCGGGATCGTAGCTGATTCGTATCCTAAAATATCTAATCATATCCTCAACATTGCTATTATCTATGCTAGGTCGGAGCAGTATAGTCGTTGTTGCTCTTCTTCAAGAGGAACTAGGTCGTTTGTTTAGTTATTTTTAGGTTCCTTTAAGGTCGTGATCAAAGGTTCCTTTTCGTTCCAACTTTTTTCGATATAAAATGCAAGAATTTGACCGATCAGCCTGGGGAAAGTACGACTGGCGGCAGGTGTTCTGCACCCTAAAAAGATATTCTCAATTATTATCTATGAACTGGCATCTGTCCAAAGAGGCCAGAGCAGTATAGTTCGGCGATCTACTTCACTAGGCGGGTCAATCTTTATCGTTCATTTTCTCAAATGGAAGTAGTTCGTTGATTAATATCTCTTCACTTCATCGTTCCTTCCGGCTCAATCGTTCCCTTTGGTTCCAACCTTTTTTCGCTATGAATGCGAGAATTTTATTCCGGCTGCGAATGTTTTCGAGCTCGCAGCTCATTCGCATGGTACAAGCATCTAGGCATGCCCTCAATTATTATCTATAAACTGGCATCTACCCACGAAGACCAGAGAAGTATAGTTTTGCGATCTAGCTAAGCAGATCTATATTTTTTTGTTACTTTCTCAAGATGAAATAGTTCGTTCATTAAATTGATTTTAGTTCAGTCGTTCCTCTCACCTAAATCGTTCCTTATAGTTTATCGCTCCATCGAGATCAATGGTTCCTTTCCTACCTTTTTTTAATATCGAATGCGAGAATTTGGTATCAGGACGTTCAGTCTGAAAGGAAGCCTGCGAAAAACGTTACCGCGTTTCTTAACTATGCTCTTATCAGGGAACTGACAGCTGTCCAAGAAGGCTGGGGGAATCTTTAATGTTTCTAATTATATCCTCAAATAAGCTATTATCTATGAACTGACATCTGTCGATAAAGACTAGGGCTGTATAGTTGAATTACTAGTTTCCTGAGGAACTATTTCGTTCGCCTGGTTCTTTTCAGTTTAGTAGCTCTTTGGCTAGCCCTGGATTGAATGCAACGAGAGCGGCAGCAAAGATTCAGGGAAATAAAGCAAATTGGAGTCGAAAAAATACCCAAGAGCGAACAGATATTGTTCATTTAAAGGGAAGTGACAAAGAACTGTGTACTTAGGTTCAGAAAATATCGGTCTTTCCCTATCCTAATATGAGATATGTAGGTTTAGTTACCTTACAAGTAAAGGGATTTAATTATGGTTCAGATCATTAAATTAAAGTAAATATAAAACTTAGAATAGCTCTTTTCGTTCCGGAATGATCCAACTCTATAGCGCAGTTCTTGTCATAAAGACGTCTGTTCTATCTACTTGCGCTCTATGGTAGATCGACCTACCAGAATGAGATCCATAGAAACTGTCTGCTCTACGGATGTAGGCCCAAACAAGATAAAAATATTTTTCTTTCCACGAGAGTTGAATTGATTTGGGTAGTTCCGGAAGGAACAAATTCGAGTGAACTAGCTCGAGCTCTTAAGTTCATCTCGTTTCATCTCTTTTCGTTCGTCTATCTTCGGACTGGGACGTTGCTTCAATTTTATTTTATTATCGTTCTTTATTTAAATTTTCATATTCCGCGAAAATGAACGATTAAAGACAATTTTTCTAATGAACTATAACCAATCGGTACCATTTAGAATGGAGGAACTATGTTCAGGAACTAGTTCCTCATGAGAAAAGCAACGAGAAAGATCGACCCGCTTCGTGAACAAGATTGCTCAACTCTGGTGTTGGCATGGCATCTCCTTTTATATTCTGACGGCGGTTTATACTCAGATCGATGCCGGTCAAATGTGTTGTGACGCGTTTCTGTAGTTTCTTCTTTTTCCGCTAGGTGGGGTAGCCTTAGTTTATGTTGTAGTAATAACTGTTGGCACTAGAGGTCAATGCTAGACCGTAGATTATGAGTTTAAAGGTGAATTATTCATTCAAAACATCTTAGACCTAAATCAAGAATTTTTGATGCAAATTTATGCATTGAGGGCTTCCAAACAGAACTTCTTGCATTTTTTACCGTTTTTATTTAATTCCTAATAATCACCACGAATTTTAATTAATTCACTTTTACAAATTCCCCAAAAATCTGGACACAACGTTCTTTTGGGCGTTTTCGATTCGAGGTGTCATATGCCGCAGTTGTCACAACAATTTTATGACGGCCCTCCATGTTGTGGGAGAACATGTACTTGGTATTGAAAGCAAATGGCCGGTAATGATAGATTTGCTAGGGAGACAGAGTGAAACCATTGAGAAAATCTTTGACAACATCTAACTTACACCAAAATTATTGACACATTTGCGATCCTCTGGATTTATGTGACGACCCCACACCGGATATGTCAGCGAGGTGGGGACAAACTGTATGGCACAAAAGTCATCGGTGGATGCTGAGATTGGCGTAGGCTGCCAGTCACCTTGTTGGAATTTTAACAATTCTCCCCTGCTCTGTGGATGATAATCGTAAGAGTTACTAGATTTTATTTCCTAAACCGTACCCATTTTTGTCGTTCCATACCGTAATCCGATCAGTTGGTTCCACTCCCTCCCATTTGCAGGCACTATTTCCGCTGATGTAAACACGTCCCTCACGGTACACCATTGTGATATTTGTCATATCGAATAAATCGTGTATGCCATTGTTGTCCGGCATGCCGGGGCATTTATCGAAAACTTCATCGTTGTCCAAAATAAATTCATAGAGTTCTCCATATACAGGGCCGAGCGACAGAAGGAAATAAAGCAAGGTTAGGATTTTTGAACTACGTTTTATCATCGCGGAAAATATTTATTCTATAGACGTGCTGTTCTCCATTTCAGTGTTATATATAGCGGAAATATGACCACATTCAGGCTCAAAAGCGAGGTCATAATTGTTAATCGATAAGAGGTGTAAATAGTTTAATTGTTTTCAGAACACAACCTGTCAGATAAAGATCTAAACACAGATTGGTTTTTCACACGAAACTGTGGATTCTATTATGCAATTTCGTATTGAAAGTCAGTACAGTAATTTAGGTTTGGCTGCATTATTCATAACTGCATTTTGGCTTTTGCTGACTAGAATGTTAATACAGGGTTGCCCATATTCGACGAACCCATCTGACAACGCCATAACTTTTGACAGAGATGTCACATCGCTTGACGAGCACTTTTGGAACAAAATTATCATGTCCGATGAAGCCCATTTCACATTGAATGGGATCGTAATTAAGCAAAATTGCCATTTTTACGCCACTGAAAATCCTCAGGAGATCCAAGAAGTGCCTCTTCACGACGAAAAAGTCACAGTTTGGTGAGGCGCTGGTGCTGGTGCGAAAACGGTCATTGGACCGTTTTTCTTCCAAAATGAAAATGGCCATGCTGTTACCATCAATCAGGAGCGTTATCGCGACATGATGACCAATTTTGTGATGCCAATTATTCGTCGAAATCGTATGAGGCAGTTCTAGCGCTCCACCGAAAAGTCGCATAACAATCGATTTTCTGAAGAATTTGTTTCCGGGCCGTTTGATGTCGAAAAGTTGTGATTTGGACTGGCCACCGCGTTCGCCCGATTTGACGCCGCCTGACTTCTTCTTGTGGGGATATTTGAAGTCAAGGGTTTACGTTAACAAGCCAAGGACCGTAGAAGAGCTCAAGGATAACATTCGTGAAGAAATAGCCGCTATTCCGGCCGAAATGTTGGCAAAAAACGATGGAAAATGCAGGAAAAAGGGCACAATACGTCATCAACGCCAGAGGCGGCCATTTGAGAGATATCATATTCAAAAATTGATGTCAACAAATCTACTTGGAACAAATTAAATGATTAACATTGCCAACAGCCAAATTTTTATTTTTTTCTTTGATTAAAAAAAAAAAAAACATGGGTCCGTCGAATATGGACAACCCTGTACATTTTTGAGGAAAATTAAAAGAAATATTCGGTTCTTCTTTTGGCTCGACTGTGCTAAAAAAATGCAGTAATAAAATAGGGTCAAGGCTATATAAAGGATTTTAAAGAATTTTGGCTAAGAGCCCGAAATTCTTTTTATGCTTTGATTCGTATGAATAACCACACGGGCTAATGGACCTCAAACGAGCTTATAACTTTTTATTTTATTTTCCGTATTTTGCAAAGAAGACTTGGATAATTTATAATGTAGCAATACACAACTAAGAAACGTACCCAAATCATAGGAGTTTACTTTTCAAATCAACGGTTCATTGTATTGACTCTGCAAAAAGCGGTAAGGAACATTCCTGGTTCCGGCAGACTAGGAACTGTCCAAACGTTGGACAATATTTAAGTGGTACAGGAAAGTATTCGTAAGGATCCAGAAATATCAACTAGGAGAGGTTCGACACAACTTGGCCTCTCAAGAGGGTCGCTGCAGCGAATTTTGCATACCATAAAAATGTTTCTATACAAAATTTAGCTTGTCCAAAAATTGAAACCGACAGGTTACCAGCAACGACTTGACTATACAATTTATTTCCAGCAAAAGGCACAAGAGAATTCTTATTTTATTTATAACTTAGTTATGAGTGACAAAGGCCATTTCCAATAAAATGGGTTCGTTAACAAACGAAACTGTAGGACATGAGCTACGGAAAGCCCGAGAGTACTTCCTTAATTACAACCTGTTTAGTGTGATGTTTCTTCAGAAAGGATCAGTGGTGTTCTATATTGGGCCATGTTGGAAAATTGTGTAAGGCCAGCCGGAAAATTGTGTACGGCCAGCCATCAGTAAATATGTTTCCAACAGGACGGAACCACAGCGCAGAGTACGAGGGCCACAATGGCTCTTTGACGCAACATCTTTGGTGAAAGAATAATTTCGCGTAGAAGCTATAGGGGGGTCCTCTTGTTCCCCGGATCTAACCACACCAGGCTATTTCCTTCGGGAAAGCAAAAAATGTCGGAAATAGCATCAAATTTTAGAATAAGTTCAGATTTGTTCAAATTGGTCACATTTGGCACGAATTGTGGCCTTCAACTGGCCAATGAAACCGTAACATCCTGCCCGAATGTTGCTCTGCCGTATTTTGGCCCATTCCCGGCGAAGCGCTTGCTTGAGGTGATCGACACTTTGGAATTTTTTAGTGCCAACCTTGCTTTCCAAAATACTCCAGACACAATAGTCCAACGAATTGGTATCCGGAGATTTTGGTGGTCATTATTAGCAGGAAATGAAGCGAGAAATATCATTTAGTAACCATTCTTGGGTGGCGAGTGCTGAGTCCTGTTGCAATGTCCAAGGTCTGCGGCCAAAATGTTTGCGTGCCCAAGGCTTTAATACACCCTCCAGAATATTTTCGCGTTAATATTCGGCATTTTTTTCTAATGCCACGGTCGATTAATACGGGCGGAGAGCGACCATCGGCTGTTATGGCGGCCGGCCCACACCATCACCATGGCCGGCGCAAATTCGGCAGTTCACAACTTTTGGCCAAGCGAACCAATGCTTTAGCTCTTTTGAGTGTATTTTCGTTCAGTTGCGGTGCAAGTTCTTGCACTTTTTGGAATTTCAATGGCTTCACACCGAGCTCATTTTTCAATATTTGCCGAATGGAATATGGCGATATGTTCAAATCACGAGTCATATTTCGGCCGCTGCGACACGGGTTTCGATCAAGTCGCTTCTTTACTTTTCGAATCATTTCTGTTGATTTGGCTGTTTTCTTCCGTCCACTTTCTTGACGTCGGGCTACGCTACCAGTATCACGGTAACGAGCGATGGTACGAGATACAAAAGATCTATTCACATTTAAAAGCTGGAGTGCTCTAACGATAGCCACTTCACGAAATTTTTTTTCTGGAAAATTCTCACCAAAATGCTTTTGTACGCTTGTAAACAATATAATGAGCTGTCACTGGAATAATTTTAACAGCTGTCTGAGGAGAGGAGTGGCTTGGAAATAACAGCAGTCTGAAGTTGGTTTTCAGTTTCATCATCTCACCCTGTATATATTCAACACCGGTGATACAAACCTTGTCAATTTTCAGACTGACATTTCATGTTCGCCAATAACACAATTGCTCCTCCATTCGTTTGAAATAACTTTAGTTCTGATTTTTATCTAACTTATGTTACTAAAACCAATTTTAATTCTAACACCTCGGGTTGATGAAAATAAAATAAATATTCACAACTAAAATCCTCTTTTCCACACCTCTTGATGTATTTAAATGCATTACATGGCGACTGCCGACCTCATTTTCTGTCGGAAGCTTCGCCGTGATGATAGACCTGAGCTCAAATTTACTAATTTCGCTTGTCTCAATATTATCCAACGCCTCCCCTGTCTCCTTCGCCCTCTACGAATTCATTTTGGCCAATGACGAGGTTTTCGACAACTGTCCCCAAATACCGGGCAATCGGGGAATACACGATCTCTTTGATATGGCAAATGTGACATTGGTTTACAGTGAAGGTCGTGTTACCATCGGTGGCAGTGGTGTCTGTAACTGGGAGGGCATGCAACCCAACGATCGCATACGTGTAAGGCAAAAAATAATAACGGGAACAAAAATTAAAAAATCTTAAATCCCCTGATTCTCTTCCCCAGAGCAGAGCCGAATTGTTGAAATATCATCGCGGAACTTGGCAGCCAACACCATTATCGTCGGCCACGAATAATTTTTGTGAAACATTGTTTGATCCAACATCGCTGACCTATCATATGTGGGGTCGTCACATTGTTGAAAGCGAACGCAAATGTGTTAGCAACTATGGGGTAAGTTCGGAAGAAGTAATTTTGATTTTATTGATTGATTTGGTTGTTCTTTCTTTGATGCCTCCATAGCACATCTACCACTACTGCCATTTTATGGTGGACACCGTGCTTGAGTTTCCCTGGAATATTGAGGGACGCCATAAACTTGTGTACCGAAGTAGGGCTTATGACTCGACGTCGAATCGGCCACGTCCCAAAGAAATATGTATTCAAGTTTTTGGTGAATTTATTAAAGTGAAATAATATCTCGATGGAGGATCATGTGAACTAAAATTTAACTACCGAAGTAGGGGAAATTGGGGTCGCCACAACTCATAAAGTGCTTGAATATGCAGTTCTAGTAGTTCTTAAGGCTAGATATATAAATATATAAAACCATTGTCTGGAACTTTGAATTTTGGCAAAACAATCACACATGGCGCAAAGGGTAGCGTATGGTGCCATTTTTGTAAATTAGTACCAAAATTACTAAGCTGAACCAAATTACCACTCCAGCGGGCAAAGGGACATAGGAAATATTCGGAACTTTTTTTTTTAATTATGGTATTTAGGTACTTAAGTCTGAACGTTTTTAGTTTAATTGAGGCAAGTTTTTAGGGGGGGAAAGAGGGGGAGGGGAAAGAAAATGGAAGAAAAAATTGCTCGTTCTGGCTATTTCTTTTGTGTTGTTATTTTTACTCAAAAAAATAAAAAACAATGACAGAAAAGTGAGAGTGAAAAAAAAAATGCTGAGAAATTGCCCTGCAGAGGAAGCAAATTGAAAAAAGGACGAGAATAACTGTCGCAAGTAAACTCGCCAATCAGAAATTTTAACATATTGAAATTTTATTTAAAAACCTAAAATTCGAATTATTCTAAAATTATTTTGCATTTAAAACTTAAAAAAAAATTGTTTTCAAAAATGAAAAGTGATTCCTCAGACCCTGCATGGACGTCTGAAAAAATTTAAAAAAAAATTGGAGACCTTTCAAGGGCAATTTAAAACGTGAAGAAGACTGGAATAGAAGAAGGCGGAGAAGACTACAGATGTGGATTTTTACAGATTTCTAGGACCGTAGATTTTTTTAAGGATTTCTAAGACTTGACATAGATGATTATAAAGGTGGATTTTCAAAGATTTCTAGGACCGTAACAGGATGACTATTAAATTGATGTTTTTTAAAGATTTCGAGGACTTCACAAGGACGAAAATAAGGTGGATTTTTTTTAAGATTTCTAAGTCCTTGCAAAGACTACAATAAATGTAGACTTTTCAAATTTTCTGGGACCTAAGAACGACGAATGGGTATATTTTAAAAATATATTCTTAGTCTCTTAAAAATTGTCAAAGATTTAGTGGGTTACACAACGTGAATTTGTTGTTTGATTTCTAGGCCCTCACTGGGATAACTATAAAGGTGGATTATTTATAGGTTTCTAGGATTTCAAAAGGACTTCTTTAAATATGTTCTTTTTTTTAATTTTAAGGATCTTTAAAATAATATTAAAATGTGTTTTTTTAAAGAATTCGTCGATCTTACAAGAACGATTGTAAACGTGTATTTTAAGATTTCATGGACCTTACAAGGACTTCTGTAAATTACTATTTTCAGAGATTTCTAGGACCTAACAAGGACGACGGTAAGCGAGGATTTTTTAAAAAAATTTTTGGACATTACAACAATTACTATATAAAAGTATATTTTAAAGACTTTTAGGACCTTACAGGGATAACTATACTGGTGGATTTTTTTTTTAAATTTCTAGGACCTTACAAAAATGACTATTTCTATGACTTTGCAAGGATGACTATAAAGGTGGATTTTTTTACAGAAGTCTTTAAATACGTTTTTTTCAGTTTTTAGGAACTTTAGGACGATTTGAATCGAGCTTCTTTTTAAAGATTTCTCGGACCCTACAAGGACGTCTCTAAACGTCAATTTCTTAGAGATTTCTAAGACCTTACAGGGGCGACTTTAAACAAAGATTTTTAATATATTTCCAAGACAACAAAAGGACGATTATAAGTGTGTTTTTTTAAAAATTTCAAGGACATAACAGGCATGGCTGCAAAGGTGTATTGTTTAAAGATTTCTAGGACCTTACATGGATGACTATATGGGTGGATTTTTTAAGGTTTTGCAAAGACTTCAGGGTCCTTACAAAGGCGACTATAAGGGTGGATATTTCAAGAATTTCTAGGACCTCACAAGGACGATTATAAACTCGGATTTTTTAATAAATTCTAGGACTTTACAAGGACGACGGTAAAGCAGGATTTTTTTAAAGATTTCTAGGACCTTACAAGGACGACTTTTTATTTGGATTTCTAGGATCTTACAAGGATAAATATAAAGTTGAATTTTTCGAACATTTCGTTGACAAGGTCGTCTTTTAACATGTTATTTTCTTATAAACTATTAAAATAAGGTAAATGGTTTATTTTAAGATTGCGATTTTTAGTAAAATGCTTATTCCTTTAACTATTTTCGCCTAAAACTAAATTTTATGTTTCTTTCAGGCGCCAACCGGATTCTAAGCAAAAAATCGTCCATAAATGGTGGTTTATAATGAAATTTGATGAGGAATATTACTTCCTTTAGTACTTTTCCAAAAAAATAAAGCATTAATTGAGATTTTGATTTGGAAAGATGTTAAATTGGCAGTGAAAAACGTAAAAACATAATTTGTACTTTTCATATATAAATTTCGAAAAACGGTCATAGATAGATGCATACTTCATTCTTAGGTTTATAGTGGAATTTTGTGAAGAACAATTCTGTCTTTAAAATTTTTGTCTAAAACGAAAAACAATTTTTTCAAAGAAGAAACTTTCTTTGTGTTTATTGGTAACATTGAAGCAAGTTTTTTTTTTCTTGATAGCTAGCAGATATAGGGATTTATTTTCTTTGGTAACTTATAGTGAAATTTTGTGATGCATATTTCTGTCTTTGACTTCATTCCTCCAAAATGTTGTTTTGTGGGAGAATTTTGCCAAAACTCACATAAGGTACGGTTTTAACCCAAAAATGTGTTTTTAATATTTACGAATTCTTGGCCGGTGAATAATGTCGCTAAAGTCATCAAAATACCGGATATCGGGAGGTACCGTTATATGGGGACTATACGAAGACGTGGGCCTGCATAGACAATTTTCTGCCTTAGGCTGTAGTATTCATTACGAACTTCAAACACCAAATGTGAAACAATTCCGTTGAATAATGTCGCTAAAATCATCGAAATACCGAATATAGGGAGGCGCCGTTATAAGGGGGCTATACGAAGACGTGGACCTGCACAGACAATATTCTGTCTTAGGCTGTAGTATCCATTTCGAAATTTAAATACCAAATTTGAAACAATTCCGGTCAATAATGTCGCTAAAATCATCAGAATACCGAATATCGGGAGGTATCGTTATATGGGGACTATGCGAAGACGTGGGCCTGCATAGACAATTTCTGCCTTAGGCTGTACTATCCATTGAGAACTTCAAATACCAAATTTGAAACAATTCCGGTAAATAATGTCGCTAAAATCATCAAAATACCGAATATAGGGAGGCACCGTTACAAGGGGGCTATACGAAGACGTGGACGTGCACAGACAATTTTCTGTCTTAGGCTGTAGTATCCATTTCGAACTTCAAATGACAAATTTGAAACAATTCTGGTGAATAATGTCGCTAAAATCAGCAAAATACCGAATATCGGGAGGTACCGTTATATGGGGCTATATGATAACGTAGACCCACATGGCCCATTTATGGACCCACATGGCCCATTATGTGTGCAAAATTTTTGAGTCCTCTATCTTAATTCGTTCGAAAGATAGCGTGATTACAACAGACAGACAGACGGACAGACACACAGACGGACATGGCTAAATCGTCTTAGAATTTTACGCTGATCAAGAATATATCTACTTTGTTGGGTCTGACATTAGTATTTCGAGGAGTTACAAACGGAATGACAAAATTAATATACCTCCATAGTATGGTGGAGGGTATAAAAATGCCTTCTAGACTAAATTTCCGTTTCTGCAGCCTGTCACGCCCTCACTTTAAAATCGCCTAAAACTTTGTCCTTCCCATAAAGCCCCTTCCATCCAAGTAACCCATAAAAATTTAATAGTAAATGCCGGTGATTTTTCCCTTGTATAAACCTCCGCTAAATTCGCAAAGAAGTATCCATAATCCTTTTTCACATAAATTAAAAACATTTAACGGAAAATGTGCGTAATTTAAGTAGCATTTCCTGGGAATCTAAAAGAAACTGCGGGCAAAAAAAAAAAAACCCTCAAAAAAACAAAAAAACAAGGAATAAAAATGCTAAAAATAACAATAATTTGTAAAAACTGAAAAGAAGGCGGGAGGACAGAACGATAAAAAAAGAAATGAACGCACTCCATAAGCTAGAAATCCCAGCTACAATTCATTTGCTAGGAGAGCCACATAAAAAAGAACAGAAAACGTAACATTGCAAATGGTGAGAAATAATAAAAGCAAGAAACGTTTTCGTTTTATATAGCAGTCAAAGACTATAAAAAACCCCAACAGCAGCACACAGCTCATCCAGGAGAATATACGAAAAATCCCTGTGGGTGAATTACATTTGGATGGAGCTGAGAACTCATAAACAGAATGGGCATCAAAAGATGCTGGTGAAACAAAATATAACAAAAAGCTCGAAGAAAAATAGACGAACAAATCATCAGCATCAATGGTAGCAGAAGTAGCAGCAGCAGAATCCAGCAAATGGCATTGGCTTGACTGGAAGGCAAGCAGGCAGCTCCATTGGAGTTTTCATCCTCAGGCAGCCATACTGGAATATAATGACGATGGATGCCTGCCTGCCAGCCAGTCAGCCTCAATGCAACGATGATGAGCTGCAATGATGAAGTCTAGCTGAGAAAAAAAGCGAGCGACAATAAATGCAACAATAAAAAACTGCTTTTAGATTTTTGTTATTCTGTTTCTCTTTTATTTGTGCAGAAGACTAAAACAAAACAACGATAGTAGAAAACGTCACCGAGTTAGTTGGGCTAGACGACAACGCCAACAACGTCGTGGAGGATGACGACGACGAGTATAGACAACGCTGGGTCGTAGCGTCTGACTAAAACACATCCCATTGAAATTGATTGAGAAAGGAACTAAATGGAAAAGCGGCATGAAAACAAACTGTGCGTTGTTTTTCTTTTTTAATGTTTTTTTTTATTTTTCAGTTTTTTTAGCACGATATATAACTCAGGCCAAAAAACGCCCTTTCAAATACACTCGAGGAAAAAAATAAAAGAAAATGCCTCAATAGTAGTAACTGAGGCCTGATTTTTTTTTATAGAAAAA